AATCACACAGCTGTGTGGAAACTTTATTAAATCTGTTACTGCAGTTCCATGCTCTGTCACCCATTGATGTCTTCCCCCCCTCCACCCCTCTGTCCTCTCTTTCTTTTTCTTCCTTTTGTCCTCCCTGTTGGGCCAGCTGCCAAAACTGAGGGCTCCTGAAGATCAATTAGAGAACTTTTTCTTCTCTGCTCACTTCTTCTGTGTTCAGTCCTTAACGTAATGTGAAAGGCAGAAAGACCTTTAGCCAGCAGTCAAATAGTGTGTGATATTCAGTGCCTAAGGTAACAGCACAAGTTTGAACTCAAAATAGTAACTGAAGAAAAAAGGAATAGGTTAAATTGTAGGATTAAAAAAAAAAACCAAAAACGAAATACAGTTCTTCTATGCATTTATCTTAAGTTGTGGCAACTAGAATGTTTTCACATCTTTCCAAGTGTGTGAGTTATGTGTCAGAGGGAGGAGTAATGTAAACAAAATGTAATATTTATCTTACATGTTCCTACTTTGTTACTTTATATCTATATGATACTTTATAAATTGTATTTCTTAAGTTTTCTAATTTGGGATTACATGTAACTGTGAAAATTATCTGATTTCTAGTTAGAGGTTGAATTTATCATGCTGTGATGTTGACAGATCACGTGTATATTGTGTGTGTGTACTGTGGGTAGTGTTCATCTCTCTTTCTAATTTCTTGCTAATACTTCAAGAATCATGTCAAGACTTAAAGTAGGTAGCTGTATCATAGAAGCAACTGAAAATGGAAAATTCACAGAAGATCCATCTCAAGAAATGTATCCCAGAAAAGCGGCAGATTATACTGCTTAGGGAAGCTCTCTTAAGAGATAGAGCAAGTCAGTATTAAATTTTCTTTTTCTTAGTCATCATCGACTGGAAAAGTTGATGATGAAAGCCAACCCTGTGAGCTTCAGAAACATTTCTTGTGCAACTTGGGGCAAAAGTTTTGGAAGAGTAGACTGCTTACTTAGGTTGAGCGTTGGCTGGATGGCCAGGCTTGAAGGCTCAGCTGGCTGGTGGCAGGTACTGATGGACAGTCTGGTTCTTTTTTTTTGTCTGAGGAAGAGAAGGTTGTGAGGCAGCCATAACAGGCCCCCATTTGCCTGAAGAGCAGTTGCAGGGGATGGAAAAGTTAAGCTCTTCCTGGTAGGAGGTACAGAATGTAACCCCAGAATGAATCCTGAAAAAAACCCCAAAAAACCAAAATAAAAAAAAATAACCCCCAAACCCCCCAAAAAACCAAAAACCCACCAACCAACCCCCCTTTATCCCCCCAAAAAACCCAAAACAAATAAACAAACAAAAAACCCCCGCAAAATAACAAAATAATCATGGCTGAAAAATTGCAGCTTGAGAGGATCAAATTTAGTATTAGGAAATAACATCTTACCTAGAGAGGCAGTGCAGCAATGGAACAAGTTATCCCAAGGCACTGTGGAGTTTCCATGTGTGAGGGGCTTTGGGCATTGTCTGGAAATGCCAGCCCTCCAATGACTGAGCTGCTCTGGTGTGAGCAGGAGCTGTGACCTAAGCAGGAGCTGGGGCTGGGGGTCTCCCGAGGTCTCTGCAAAGCAGCATTTGTATGACTTGGAGTGACTTTGCCCTGATAGCCATTTTATGTGCAAACAATGTAGAAGAGAGGTATTTGTCTTCAATATTCTGCCAATAACAGACGAATTTCCAGTTTTTCTTTTGTTCCTGGCAAAAAGAGTTAAATTTCTTTTGACTGTTGTATTCAAATAATAGCTAAGAAGTGCCTGGAGGCAACTGAATCAGAGACAGGACAGAAAGAGGTACCCCTGCATGGCTTGAGTTACTGCTTTTGAAAGCAGACTTATTGCTTCTTGAAATTCTGGGGAAACAGGAAAAAATATGTTATATTTTAAAGAATTTCTTTTACAAAGTCTCAGTTGCTGTACAGATGGGTGCGTTATAAAAATTATATGGGAATGCTGTCCAGAAATCCTTTCAATTAATTAAAAAGCCCTGTTTCCCTCTCAAGTTCTATGGTAATGACCAAATAGTTACTGGCACCTTTTTTCCCTCAGTTTTAAAACAGAAGATTCACAAACTGCAATGTTTCTGTATATCTCAAAAATTTCTAATGTTTATTGGTAAATATTTGGAGTTCGGATATTTTATGTTTGGATTTGGCTTTGTTTTTTTTAAGCAATGATACCCACACATGAGCTAATGTTCTTTCTGAAGGCCTAAAGTTATTTTTAATAATTTAGGGCTACCAGATGAAATTAACCAAATAATATATATAAAGACTGTGTGATTAGCAGTACTGTTGATTACCAACTGTGATTAGTTGTCCTGTTGTGGAAAAAGTGTAATTTTAACAAAAAGATTTAAAAACAAATTTTTCCAGTACTGTATGGCCTTTTAAGTGAATCAGTGCCGAGGTCATTATTCCACCCATGGTGCTCCTCTCTTCTTCTGCAGTTCCTCTTCTACCTCCTGAACTGCATGCAATTTGTCTGAGTTTTAACCATGACCCTTGCTAAAATGTAGAGATTACAATGTACTAAGAGGTATTTGCTGTATTTAAAAAGTGTCAGTGCTGATCTTTGTGAAATGTGTTGTGCCCATGGGGGAAGAGACTTACTTTGAAGTAGGCAGGAATGAGCTTGTCTAGTTGGTGGGTTTAATTTCAGTTTACAGTGGCATCTACTGATCTGTTTGGTGATACTGTGGTTTTTCTTCTGCAGTACTACATGGGTGGAAGGGTTAGGCACTGCTGTGCTTTCAGAATGCCTGGAATCTTGTAATTTTCAGGGGCAGACGTTCTGCACTGATGGATGTATAAATCTGGTGATAACATCTTGTACCACATCAAAGACGACTGCGGCGACTCATTCTTCAACTTCAGGCTATGTTCAGTGTGTGCCGTCCTTTCCTAATAAATACAACCGTGTCATATCTCTAGGTCAGCTCAGGGATTTTTCCTGTCTAGTTTGACTCATTTCCAGGACTTTCTCCTGAAGATGATCTTAGTTGCTCATTGTCTGCTGAAGCTTTTTACTGAAGATGCAAATGCATTGTCTGGTCCTTGTCTGTCCCCATTTTCCCAGTTGTCTCCTGGCTGAGATGGTGCCTTGTCTCAGTCCTCACCTGTCCTCAGCTGAACTGATGCTTCAGAGTTTTTCACTGCTGTTTTTTACAGTAATATTTTTTTTTTTTTGACAGTGAAGGGACATCAGGATGAGTGTGGGGAGGATGGTTGTTCATAGAAAGGCAGACAGCCCACAACAGCTATGTATATAGATTTGGAGTTCTGCAGCTGGCTGCTGTAAATCTGAGTGAGCTTGTTACTGCCTTTTTAGTGTAACTTGGACTGATTTATACCTAAAATAAAGCCAGGAATTGCAAGGTCATTCCACAAAGATCAAAAACTATAGTCTCATTTTAGCCATGCACAGGTAGCTGTGCTTTTCACAGTCTACAGAAGCAATTTTCAGACCATGCATGAACTCAGGAGAAAAAGGTTAGAGTTTTGAGGTACACTGGTACAAATTCTGTAGAACAGATAAAAAGGAATATTGCAGCTTACCTGAATAGAATTAAATAGCTTCATTCTCCAGTGACAGCAATTACTTGCCTTTGTAGTCATACAAAATAATTCTTTTGTAAGAGAAGAAATTCCACTGTGAGAAAGCAAATATTTGAAATGGAGCAAGTGGTGTGTGTGGAAATTTGATATGTTCATGTAACACTGTTGTGTGTAAAGCAAATAGATATTTTTTCCATTATAAATGGGGGAGCTTGAAGGTACTGGAGATGCAGTTCACCAAATAATAGATATGTCTTCATTCCTTTCCCCTTTTTTATTGACTTCCCAATCATGATATCCCTGGACTATTTACAGTCCTTACTTGCAATGCTGTTATTATCAGTGCCCTGATGATGCAAAAGAAAACACTTTTTAATATGTTGTGAAATATGTCATGGTTTCTGTTTGTGTTTTTAGGGACAGAAAGTATCACTAAGTATAGTGTCATCAGATACCACACTTTGACACGTTTATCTGAAATGGTGGTCTTTTGAATGCTTTGGAAATAGCACTCTAGTGCACTAATCTCTGGGAAAGTAATTTTTATTATTGTTGGCTCCTGTGTGTAGCAAGCAGCTCTCAGCTGACAGACTGTACATTATAGAAAAATGTTTGTGACTCAGCTAACAAAAACCCAAAGAAGTATCTAAATTAGGAATTCTGGTTTTGTGCCTTTTTTTCTTATTACTGCATGCTGTCCTCTGTTACTGCAGTCAGTCCTTTGCAAGTGTGCATGGATGTGGGCGAGACCACACTCCATTAGCTTGATACAAGCAGCCATTCTACTTAAAAGAAAACATACCATTTTCATACCAAAAGTAGAAAGCACAAGTCCAGAATAATAGAAGGAAGAAGTTCGTCAGACTTTAAATTATTTTTAAGTATAGATTGATTCTTTTGAAATAGCAATGCAGTGTCTGTGGTCTTTTCTTGCACTACATTAATTTAGCTGTTGACTTTTATATATGGCTATATTGAAGTATGCAATTGCAGCGTATATTTTCATAGTAGATTAAAGTATGTATGTGTTTTATAAATTCAAATGAATGTTCATCAGAATGCTGTTTATAAAGAAAAGTCAGAAAAACAAGGTAGAATATCTAACTGGAAAAAAAAAAGAATAGCTGAAAAGAAAGGAATATAAAATCTCCTCTATAAAACTGCGACCTTGTTTTGTTACAAATTTATTAATAGCTACCTCAGAGAACTCCTATAATTTACTGAGTGGATACCAATCTGACAATATACAGGTTTTAGAAAAACTCTTGTCTTTTTGTTATTATATGGACTTTTCAAGCAGAAATTCTTGCCAGATGAAGAAAAGCAAATAAAGCAAAAGCATCTTTATTTGTGCATACTATACTGACACTTTGGGGAAAGGAGAATGAATGAGTATTGATGCCTCTGTTTTCTGTCCTTCCTGTAGGTGTGCAGGACCCTCACCATGAGAAGATAATTACTGTGACTACTAATGGGAGTATTCACAGCCCCAAGTTTCCACACACATACCCACGCAACACTGTGCTAGTGTGGAGATTAGTAGCTCTTGATGAAAACGTATGGATACAGCTTACTTTTGATGAAAGATTTGGGCTTGAGGACCCAGAAGATGACATTTGCAAGTAAGTTACCTTCCCTTTTACTTAGGAAATTCTGAAAGGAGGTGATTGGAGATGAAGAAAAAAGGTACTGCTTGAGTTTTGCAAAAATCAACACTTGCATGTTAATTTACATATAAAATGCATCTTTTAAAGTATTGGTTTATGATTTTCTTTTATAGTGCTACAGGAGTTATTCATGCTTGAAAGTTCTGGTGTGCTCCTATTTTTACTTCTGCATTCAATACCTAGGCCATAGATATATTACAATAGAAAAATGTGACATATTTAATCTCCCTCTCAAGTGAAAGTTTTGACATCTGGGAAAATATTATTGACAGAATGTTAGAATGATGAATGTCTAGTTTTTGCAGAGTAAATTTTGGTGAGTAAGTTGCCTGAAGCAGAATTCAGATCATGACAAAAAGTATTACACCGCTGTTTAAGACACCCGCACACACTACTCTACAATATTTTAATGGCCTTAAGTTGTCAAGTTATCTGTGAAAAACAGCACTTGAAGTACTGTGCTAATTGACATTCTTCAGTGGTACTGGTTTTTCCCTGACTTCAGTAAGCATCTGCATGCTCAGTCACTGGCAAAGGTTTCTGTAGGACTTGTGGGGTCTCTGTTTCCTTCCATGATTCTCAGCTGAAGGCTTTGTAATTTAGGAGAGAAACAGTTGTGACATAACAGGCGTCAGCACAGATGTAGTTCTGAACCAAGCCATGTGGTTGGTAAAGTTTTGGATGTTTTGAGAGGCAGTAGGACTGACATTTCCTGTGGGAGGGTGAAAGAGGAGACATCCTAAACTCTTGTATCCTGTATCTGTCTGTATTCTCAGCAACACATCATAAAAAGTCCTGATGTGTGAATAGTGGTATGTTGTCTGCACTCTTCAGTAAATTAAATAAAATATGTCATTTAAATGGCATTTTCTCCTTTGATACCTTCCTGGAGAAGTAGTTCACACAAGATTTTTGTTTCAAAGTAATATTTTTGGGGTTTTTTTTGTTTTTCTGATTTGATTTTTATTTTTATGTACATCATACACGCATTTGACTTGATTCTTGTTTTCAGTTTTTTTAATTGACTGTTATTCCATTGGCGTGTATCAACTTTTGATAACAAATTTGAATTCTTTAGAGGTTATTTTTGCACTTATCCTTAATTTGGGAAAAGGTGTTTATAACAGATGAATATCTTTTTCTCAGAATTCTAAAGCAAGTAATTACCAAGGCCATATCAGTACTATACTATATGCTAATGACTGTAAACACAGGTTTGCTTGAATGAGTGCACTCCCTTTGCACAATAAGTCTTTTCTTCAAGTAAAAACTTAGCTTGCTTTTCCTTTTCTTTGCATATGGCAGAGTGAAGTGGCAAGTGAAAGAAAATCCAGGTAGGGTGACTCATTCATCCACTTGCAAAAAGAGAAGAAAGATAAGTTAAAATATTTTATAATATTATAACTAGAATAGTATTTTAATTGTGAGTAGATTTATTTTAGGTAAATAATGTGCTAAATACAAAAGGACTGACAAATTAAGAAACAGTAGCAAGTCACTCAATCTTCACTCAGTTAGAATCTTACCATGCTTGTAATTGTTCAGGGATACCAGGAAGTTGCATGACTGCAATTCCTGATATGTGTCCTACTGAAAAAATACTGGGCTTTTTGGTTTGGAAGATTAAAAAGAGAGTTATATTTCTCTCTGGAAAAGATTTATATTTTTGATTTTAACTCCAGGATTCCTCTGGACTTCAATTTCAGTAGCAAGTTCAGTAAAGGAAGAGAAATTGCAACTTGTTTAATGTAAAGGTAGTATAAATAACAAACAAGTTGAGGAAATAACTAAGAGACAGATTACATATGTAAAATAATTCTACACAGGTCAAGTAAGTTACCAGTTACCTGAGTAATATCTCTTTATGAGTTATGTCTTGCATTTCTTACCCTTAGAGTTCCTAATAAAATTATTTATACTTCTTCCAATACGTTCTGTAGAAAAACTAGGGTTTTTTTTATTGACTACATCCCACAGAATTTATTACTGTACCGTGCTTCTGCCATCTTGAAACACACAGATCACTATTGTTCATGTAGAGTGCTCAACGACTTCTCCAATAGCAGATTTGTATGACCAAGGACAGAATGAAACATCACATGAAGTTTGATCTATTATAATTCTATACCTTTAGCTTTGACATATGACTGAAACTAAGTAAAAACTGCAGCCAGGAAACATTAGACTTTCTATGCAGTGTACAGTGTGTATCAGGATATCATTTTCTCCCTTCTGTAGTGTCTGAGACAACCTCATGAGTTACCTGCTGTGGTCAGTGTCACAGTTTTCAGTCTCTCTGCCTGTTTAAGCTGTTCATTCTGGGTAATGCCAGAACTTTCTTTGTCATCTCTGCAGACTGTGGGGCCCTGTGGTGTCAGCTCATAGGGCCAATGAGAGAATAGTCTGGAGTATAACAGTTTAAGATAATTAGCAGTTTTTGCATCTCATAGTAATTCAAATATTGCCCATAATTTGGAGAAAAATGAAACTCAAACATATCCAGTTGTACAAGTGTTTTTTGTTTAGCATGGTTCTACATCAGGAATACAATAGTAGTGGTGACTAAAAAATGTCATAGATGTATCCTGAAGCTATGGCAAGTTTTGTCCTGTATCTGACCTTGGATTTCTTCAAAGTCAGTTCTGACATTTCAGGCTATTCAGTGAAGTCTTTTCATCTATAGCAAATATCACATTTTACAGATATTTTTCAGGTATCACTCTAGGCTGTACTTCAAATATTTTCTCAAATGCAAATCAAAGTGATCCTGCATGGCTTTTTTTTTTTTCCCCACTCGGTTTTTACTTGCCATTCAACTTAGAGTATTTACTAATGTAGCAAATTTGCATTACAAAAAAATTGTGTTAAGGCCAGCCCTTCTGACTCAGCCTCACCTGCATTAACGTGCACATTCTGCTAATTCTCAACAGTCTTAAGCATGATTACACGGTTTTAAATTACAGGATTTTTAGAATAAAATTCTGGTATTTTGCCTGTATTTAACCAAGTGATTTTTATCCTGGTTTTACAATGGTGATGTACGTGAAATTCAAGCACATCATGTTTTCATTCCTTTAAAGCTAGTCAATGTTTTTTGTTTTTTGGTTTTCTTCACAATAGTTCTACATCATCTGCACTTCATCCTTCCAATGGACAAAATGTTAAGAAGTCCTTTCCAAAGTGAACACAAACTCCACTTTTTTTGGAAACTAGATCCATGCATATGTCTAGAAGACATGTAGGTTATTTGGTAGACAGTAGGAATGTATAAATCTCTGCAATATTGTGGTAACTTCAGTTTCATACACTCTGTTTCATTTCAGTTGTGACTTGCAAAAGAAAAATATTACAAGCAAAATAATCCCCCTTCAAACCAACCAAGGAGAAAGGAGAAGGATGTAACTCTTGGGTGTTTTGTGCAGTACTGTTTACATGATAAAAGTGGCAGTGAATTTCTAGCAGAGGCATTGCGAATTTGGATTGCATACGCCTGCCCTTTCTGATGAAATGAAAATGCAGTTTTTCTGCTGTTGGTATGGTAGCTGATATGACAGGTCATTATTTTTATGATGGTAGCCCCTCAATCCTGTTTTAATCATAAAGCCATTAGACTCCTGTGCCAGACAGCTCCTATTGCCAGGGAGCTGCCATAACTCTTCTTGACCAAAAACTGACTTCTGCTCAGCTGTTGCTTGTTGTTCAAATTTGTTGCTTTCTGTCAATAAGAACATGAAGTGATAACAGCTTTATGATTAACTCCTCTGTGACAGGAAGACATAGATTTAGCTTTCTTCCAGCAAGAGCATAGATATTACACTTGACCTTGAAAGGAAGTCTGATTATGTGAGTTGGTCAGAGCATTAAAATGCAAGGCAAAAATAGGAAAGGGAAAGGAAAGAATCTTTCTTCTTGCTCTCTCCCTGTGCATGGAATGGCTCTAGTTGTTCATCTGAGTAGTGGTTGCAGCTGTTCTTTCTAATCATCTGATGATTACAGTCTGACTTTTATTATATGTAATAAAACACAGAAATGTGTCACAAATCCAAAGTGCAATTACTATAGTTAAGGTGATAAGGATGAAATGCCTGAGTAAAAGGCTGTGGAACTAACTGATAGTAGAATAATAAATACCATTTTAGCAACATCTTTATTTTAGGATGCTTACACTAATTTCCAACTCTCTTTAGCCCTCTAATAATTTAAATTATCAACTATAGTTTGTTTGTTTAGGGGTGGAGGGAGGCTTTTAGCAGCTGCAGATGTGAGTCTGTTCATTTACATGTATAAGTAAAGCATTAACCTATAATGTTTTGAAAGAGATTTAAAAGCTTGTCTACTTGATATTTGTAATTTGTGGAACTTCTTCCTGCAGAAAATTAGTTAAGCTGAAGGCAGCCATCAGTGCTAACATAGGGTAAAATCTGTGCGACTTGTTTTTCCTTTTCCTCTCAAATTCAATACTTAATTTTTTAATCCTGGGAATATTCTTCCTCTGAGGATTCTTAGGTTGATGCTTTATTATTCAGTGCCACATGTATTAAATTCACTACCTCCCCTTTCCATGTTTCCTTTGGCTACTTTCCTTCACTGCAGGTCTGTTGTGACTGAGCTGTTGCTTTCCATTCATGGAACATCAAGATTCTGGGATAGAAGCTGTGATCCAGACTGCTTCATCAGTCATATGGGTTCCTAATGAATATATTGTTAGGAAATTCTTTATAAGAATTAAAGAATTAGAAGATTTGGCTTAGTCTGACAACACTGAAAAAGGTGTATTAAAGAGGAAACATACAGACACTGTCTTTCATCTGTGACTATGAAGAAAGAAAATGTTTGCTTAGCAGTCTTTTTTTCTTTTTTTTTTTTTTTTTGCATAATTTGTTTCAGATGGATGCTAGGCAGTGATAATTTACACTAAACACAATAGAAAGACTGAACATTTTGTCACATAATTT